AAGAATAAATTACTTCTGCTCAGAGAAATACATAATTGGCCAGGTGGGGTGGCTCACACTTGTAATCCCAGCACTCTGGGAGGCTGAGGCGGGTGGATCAATTGAGGTCAGGAGTTTGAGACCAGCCTGGTCAACATGATGAAACCCCATCTTTACTAAAAATATCAAAATAAACCAGGCCTGGTGGCATGCACCTGTAATCCCAGACACTTGGGTGGCTGAGGCAAGAGAATTGCTTGAACCTGAAAGACGGAGGTTGCAGTGAACTGAGATAATGCCACTGCACTGCAGCCTGGGCAACAGAGTGAGACTTCATCTAAAAATAAAAAGAAATACATAACTGACATGGCTAAACAGAAAATATTCAATCTGAAATACACTAATTTAGAATGGGCACAGTAGCTCATGCCTGTAATCCCAACACTTTGGGAGGCTGAGATAAGAGGATCGCTTGAGCCCAGGAATTCAAGACCTGCCTGGTCAACATACTGAGACCCCATCTCTAAAAAAAATTGAAAAATTGGCCAGGCACGGTGGCTCATGCCTACAATCCCAGCACTTTGGGAAGCCGAGGTAGGTGGATCGCCTAAGGTCAGGAGTTTGAGACCAACCTGACCAACATGGTGAAACCCTGTCTCTACTAAGAATACAAAAATTAGCTGGGAGTGGTGGTGGGTGCCTGTAATCTCAGCTACTCAGGAGGCTGAGGCAGGAGAATTGCTTGAACCTGGGAGACAGAAGTTGCAGTGAGCTGACATTGCACCATTGTGCTGTCACCCAGGCTGGAGTGCAGTGGCATGATCTTGGCTCACTCAACTACCACCTCCCAGGTTCAAGCAATTCTCCTGTCTCAGCCTCCCAAGTAGCTTGGACTATAGATGCGTGCCACCATACCTGGCTAATTTTTGTATTTTTAGTAGAGACAGGGCTTCGCCATGTTGGCCAGGCTGGTCTCGAACTCCTGACCTCAGGTGATCCACCTGGCTCAGCCTCCCAAAGTGCTGGGATTACAGCTATGAGCCACTGAACCCTGGTCCATCTTTTTTTTGAGACAGGGTCTCACTGTGTCACTACAGGCCTGCACCATCACACCTGGCTACCCTTTTACTTTTTGTAGAGATGGGGTCTCACTATGTTGCCCAGACTGATCTTAAACTCCTGGACTCAAGAAATCTTCCTGCCTCAGCCTATCAAAGTGCTGGGATTACATGCAGGAGCCATTGTGCCTGGCCTAAAGCAAACCTTCTAAATACTTTATGGGTAACTCTGTGCCAAACTTAGGTTTAGTTCTGATATGTACTTTACTATAATATTCATAAATATAAGAGCTAGAAAGAAAGTCAGAAATAACAACATCCCCTTCATTTTACAAACATCTGATCAGATCTCTACAACAGTTCATTCTTCTGATATTGGAATAAGATATCAGAATAAGATCTAAGCCTTCTATCTGCATTCTAAATCTCATTTTTTGTTGCCTCTCAGAAAACATGCTCCATCAACTGGCTCCCTTTTTTCCCTTATCTCTACCATCTTTCTCTGTTTAATTAAGAGAAATGTTCAAGTTTTTCCAATCTTAGAAAAAAAAAATCCTCCTTGTGTCTTTGTCAAAATTCTACTTTGTTTTGTCCTTGTAAAAGCCAAGCTGATTTTACTGACAAAGTGACCCAAGACTTCCTAGTTACCACAAGCTTTCAGTCTTTATCTTGACATCACTACCAGATTTGACCTGTTGAACAATCTTCTTCTCTTTGTAAATTTCTAATTTGGTTATCAGGAAACTCCTCTCTCTGTTTTATCTTTCTTTTTTTTTTTCAGTTGAGACTCATTTCTATCTGTTTCACAAGCTGGAGCGCAGTGGCGCCATCTCGGCTCACTACAACTTCTGCTTCCCAGGTTCAAGTGATTCTCCTGCCTCAGCCTCCTGAGTAGCTGGGATTACAGGCATGTACCACCATGCCCTGCTAATTTTTATATTATTATTAGAGAAGGAGTCTCTCCATGTTGGCCAGGCTGGTCTCAAACTCCTGACCAGTAATCCACCTGCCTCAGCCTCCCAAAGTGTTGGGATTACAGACATAAGCCACCACACCCATCCTTGGTTTTTCTATAATACTACATTTTAATCATTCTTTCAGATCCTCCTTATAGGTCCTCTTTTTCCATCTGAACCGTAAAAGCCAGCATTACACAATTCCATCTTTGGCCAAATTCTCTCACTCTATATAATTTCCCTAGGTGATTTTATCTACAATAGCTCCAACTATCACCTACCTATAAACTAACTTTCAACTATCTATCTTGATCTTCAATCTTTCTCCTCCAGAGGCATAATGAAAATTTCTGTTGGGGCTGGGCATGGTGGCTCACGCCTGTAATCCAAGCACTTTGGAGGCCAAGGCAGGCGAATCACCTGAGGTTGGGAGTTCAAGACCAGCCTGACCAACATGGTGAAACCCCGTCTTTAAAAAAAAAAAGAAAATTTCTGTTGTTGATGTCTACCCCACAGGCACTTCAATTTAACATGTGAAAAACTGAACTTGCTACCTTTTTCCTTAAAACTGCTCTTTCTCTTATATTCTCTATCTCCATGAACAGTTCCACCAGCTACCCTATGCCAGGTGCTGGGACAAATTATGAATAGTCACTATCCACATCCTCAAAAAAGACATATAAATGGACAAATATAATGTATTTTCATATTTGATACTTTGGAAAAAATAATATGAACTGAAAATATAGGGGGGGAAAGAACATTTAAGTTCACCTGGGGAATTCAGGAAAGTGCCTGACACCAGTTGGGGCTCAATAAATATTGAATATTTATTGAGTTTATTTTGTAAGTATGATTGTATTTGTTGAAAAATGTCCTAGGTGCCTTAAAATGACTAAAAAGTAAACAACATGGCATCAATAACTCTCCTTAGTGTGTGCTAGACAAATAATATAGCCAACTAACTAACACTATTATACAAAAACCTGATAGAATTTTTTTTTGGTGTTAGCAACTTTTCTTCAAGCGGCAGTGTACAGCAGCTGCAGAGGTACTGCTCCTTTTGAAGCGGGGCTACCCCATAGACAGTGTGCCCAGAATAGAGACATGCTTATTCAGAGTAAGCCTGCTAGGCCCTACCTAATCTGCCCCTCCCCTACTCTATTACTTCTACTATTTCCTGATTCACTGCACTTCAGCTTCACTGTCTTCCATAGTCTTTTTTACTCATGTCAAATATGTTCCTACTTCAGAACCGTTGCAACTGCTCTTTCATTTTCCTAGAAGTCTTTCACCAATTATCCACATGGCTTACAACACCAGTGTAGCCTTATCAGAGAGGACTTCTCTAACTATGCTAGGAAAAGACTAGGTGTGGTGGCTCATACCTGTAATCCAAGCACTTTGGAGGCCTAGGCAGGATGTGTTCACTTAAGGCCAGGAGTTCAACCAGCCTATTCAGTCTAGCAAGACCCCATCTCTACAAAATTAGTATGACATGGTCGTGTGTGCCTATAGTCTCAGCTACTCAGAAAGCTGAGGTGGGAGGATTGCTCAAAGCCTCTGTGAGTTATGATGACGCCCCTGCACTCTAACCTGGGCAACAGGGTGAGACCCTAACTCTAAAAAAAAAAAAGAATCTGGCCGGGTGTGGTGGCTCATGCCTGGAATCTTAGCACTTTGGGAGGCCAAGGCAGGTCAATTACTTGAGTCCAGGGGTTCAAGACCAGCATGGGCAACATGGTGAGACCTCATGTCTACAAAAACATACAAAATTTAGCTGGGTGTGGTGGCACATGCCTGTGGTCCCAGCTACTTGGGAGGCTGAGCTGGGAGGATCACTTAAGCCTGGGAGTTTACAGGTTGCAGTGAGCCAAGATTGCACCATTGCACTCCAGCCTGGGCAAAAGAGCAAGACCCTGTCTCTATAAAAATAATAATTTTCTAAAAATCTAACTATGCTGGTTAAAATGGCAGTCTGTATACCCAGAGCTTAGAACAATGTTGAGCATATAGTAGGGATATAATAGATATTTGCTGAATGAATTTCTTTCAGATTCAAATATTCAAAAAAATTTTCCAAATAAAACACTTAGAGATGGAGTCCAAATCATGTTTCAATTTTCTGAGAATTTAAATCTTCGTTCCATTTTGTTTTCACTGACTATAACAGATCTCTGTGTACCCTTCTTTGTTCAATCCTTGAATAGCAGGTTTAGTGGATTTTTAAAAATTGCTCTCAACACAATTTTTAAAATATTATTTAAACATCTACTGCAGACAATACCATCTTTTCTCAATTATCATATACAAATAGGAAAAAACAAATTAAATTCTCACATGTTCTTCCAAACTCGGTTTTCCCCTAATTACAATTTTTAAATTTCCCTAATTACAATTTGATGGAGGTTGCAAAAAGCACCGAAGTCAGTAGATCCCAAGTTCCAACTATTCTCCTTTTCTTTACCTACTCTCTTAGAAATTATAGCAATAAGCCAGAGCAATCAGTCAAGAAAAAGAAATGAAGGGTATTCAAATAGGAAAGGAGGAAGTCAAATTGTCTCTATTGGCAGATGACATGATTGTATATCTAGAAGACCCCATCGTCTCAGCCCCAAATCTCCTGAAGCTGATAAGCAACTTCAGCAAAGTCTCAGGATACAAAATCAATGTGCAAAAATCACAAGCATTCCTATACACCAATAACAGCCTTAAAGAGAGCCAAATCAAGAACGAACCACCATTCACA